TTTTGTTATGCATAAAGTACTGTATATTAATGCATATTACTTAAAATTCAAGATTACAAGTAAATTATACATAAGTACAACTTATTAAAGCTTTGAATTCGTATAACTAACTGCGGACGGATAAACATAATCAATAGAGAATAAATATATCATTTTAACTAAAATATAATTAGAATAATTATCGAGTTCTAACAAAATAAGTAATTATTATCTTTATAAGAAAATTATATTATTAGACCAAATATAAATTACTTCGTTATTGTACCTAAATTTTAAAAAAAATTGAATTAAAAAAATACACAAAAAATGAGAAACTTTAAATGGTTAATTTGATACTAATATCGATATATTTTTGTCAAAATTTTATGATATCTTCAAATTTATATTTTATTCAAAAATAAAAAGATCATCGCTTTCTCAAAATCACATAAAATCATATTATACCATCGACTGAGATCAAAAATAAAATGAAATATTAAAATCAAGATGTATCTTGTTGCATTACGCGAGTACCATTTTAGTATATATATATATATATATATATATATATTGATTAACCTTAATATTCAATCCACTATTCATTATAAGAGCCTAAGGGGCTGTTTGTTTGCCTCTTAATCGGTAAGAGGGAGCCTCTTAATCCGTAAGAGGCAGGGCTGTTTGGCAAAAGAAATTGAACCTCTTAATGGTGAAAATTATCTCTTAACCATTTTGCATCTAAGGGGTTGTCTAATGGTTCAGAGCCTTAACTTTCCAGACACGTGTCACCCAGATACACTGAAAATTTAAAATTGTAAGTTGTATGTTATACCCATAACACGTGTCACCCAGATACACTGCTAACGAGTCATGTAAACCTAAATGGTCGCACACAAAGAACACGTATGCTTCCACTAAAGAAAAATAATCTAAACATGTGTACCGTTTTGTGATTATTATAATTACAGAGTTTAATCTATAAATATATATATATATATAATTATCTTAAATATTTTTAGATAATTATATAAGATATTATTAGATAAATAAATAATCATTTTAGATAATGATTAAGTCTTATTAAGAGTTATGGTCAATCTCGAAGACTGACCATATAAATAAGGCTTAGGGGCTAAACCAAAATAGAAGATTGAGTTCTAATAACTAGTTGTTGCCTCAAAACCATAAACGATACAATTATAGAATTAGGATTCTTTGCGCTAGCACCCGGTGGAAGTTCCAAGCGTGTTCGTGTGTGGACAACCGATAAAGGAAACCTGATTTGGTTTCTTAGTGCTACATCAAAGTTTCAATTTAATCCTCAAGGTAAATATTTTAAACACCCTATGGTCTATGTAGATTCGTTTTAGTTGTCAATGGATCTGGCTTTAGGTTTTATTTAGAAAAAAATTTTCTAAACGTTTTTGTAACCGGGTTCTGTTTTTCCGCTGCGTTTTATCCGGTTATTTTCGCAAACTAAAACCCAACAAAAATATTTTTACTTCAACAACTATGTTAATTTAGAAGCTATTTGGAAGTTGTTGAATGATTTATTGCAGGATAATTAAGAGGCTTTCATGATATAGTGCAAAATGAAATATAATTGTATGATAATTGTTAACAATGAAATTAGGACACTAAATAGTTAAGGGGTTTTTAAATCATAAAAAACAGACTTTTTTTTACCAAACATGATTCACCTCTTAACGATTTAAAGAATATCTTTTAATTAACTCTTAAAGAGAGAAACAAAAGCAAACAAAACATTACTCTTTTAGAGAGAGAGAGAGATGGTGTCTAGAATGGAACCCTAAACTCCATTCTTATTGTATGTACCTCGACCACCCGGATAAAGCAATGTAGCATCCCCCACACACAAGTCTCTGCAACCCTAAATCACAAATCGTTGTCTAAGAACAAACCCTAGTTTTCATGTTTCTCCCAACAAATTGAGGTTGAAGATGAAGGAAATTCAATTGTTAAATGCATCAAAAAGAAGCATGATTCATCAACTACTGAAATGAACAATTTGATTTCAAAATTATTATATATATAAATTATAAAAGTGAACATATGAAATTTGGTCTGTGTAAAAAGTCGTAAAAAAAATGATCTAGGGCTATAAATAGTTCATTTCATTTTCAGACGACTTTTCAGAAGAAATTTGTTTGAACCCTCGAAGAATCCCAAAATTACGAAACCCTAGATTTTTTATTCCATCCTTGATGTAACACCTCAGTCTCGTTATTGACAAGCATAAACCTGCGATTCAGAATCTTTTCCTGCTCCGATTTTTGATAGCAATGGCGAAAACCAGAACAGGCAAGCGAGACTTGGAATCTTTCACCATCAGAGGCACCAACAAAGTGGTCAGAGGTATACATACACATACATACATGCATACACATATATACATGTTGCTGAAATTTGCATTTTGGGGGTAGATTTAGTTTCTAGATTTTGTCTGAGAAATGAATCAATGAGACTGATGGAATTTTGAGCAATCTATGATTTGTGAAGAACTAATCTAGTAGGTGATATGATACCCTAGTTTATGTGAGATTTTAGAGATAATCTCCGGCGAGATTTAGTTCGTTTGCCGTTGCTGCATCGTGGGAAACGGAAACATTGGTTGAGGAGAATTTGTTTTATGGTAATTTTGTATGACAAAGGCGGATCCAGAAAATTTTGAAACGGTGGCGCCATTCGCCTCACCGTTTGGGTTCCCGAAACCGTAGTTCCTTTCTTGTAATCAACCCTAGATGAACACCTCTCCGAAGATCATTGCTCATATCTATCCATTTGATTCGTTTATTCTTCGATAAAAACCCATTCAAAACTCAGCGAATTGAGTAAAACGGGGCCATTGATCGAAGCAAAACAGTGATACTGTTAGGATCAAGCGCTTACCCACTACACCAAAAGCAATTGCCTTGGTGAAGGCGCAACCTTATTTCCCTTATAGCGTAGCAGCCAGCGCCACGTTTCGATTTAGGAAGATGCTGGAACCGTGACCAACAATTCCCCCCCCCCCAGCATCTGCCGATACTAATAAGAGCTTCGTTAGAAGTCAATGGCCGCGCAGCATGCCTTTCTCATAATTATGCACTCCTTGCATATTATGCACACCATGGGATTCGAACCCGTGACCTGCTCTGATACCAATTGTTAGGATCAAGCGCTTACCCACTACACYAAAAGCAATTGCCTTGGTGAAGGCGCAACCTTATTTCCCTAATAGCGTAGCAGCCAGCGCCACGTTTCGATTTAGGAAGATGCTGGAACCGTGACCAACAGATACCTTTGAGAGTTCTAATCTTTCTTTTAAGAACTACGTAGGGACAGTTGAGCAGTGGCACGAGACACCCAAGCCCTATACGAGTCTAAAAAGTGCCTCGACTCAAAATGCTTTTCAATTTCTTATTGATTCGTTTGTGATTGTCAGATATTGTGCTATTCAGTTTTCTGGTTTCTGATCGAATAGATTCCAGTGTGGTTTTTGCTTTTCGGTTTGGTTGAGCCGGGTTCGCTAGCAGCAAGATTTATTTTTACTGGCTGAACCATTGTGAAACCTAGAACATGATGCCTCAACTTCACCACACACACACACATATATATATATATATATATATATATATTTGTGTAGAAATTCAATTAGGTTGTGTCTGGTACATAGGACGAGATAGGATATGACAAAACTCACTGTCCAACATTGGCACAACATGGGACAGGACAAAAACTCATTGTTCCATGTTTGGCATGTCATGAGACAGGGAGAAGGGCTGTGACTGGGTGGGACAAGGTCATTGGTTCATACAAACACACACACATACTAATTCTTTTGAACACAAGAATGCCTTAAAATCTGTCAGAAGGTCAGACATTTAAAAAAATATGTTAAAAGGTTATTCTTCTGAATAAGTTTTTAAATCCATGACTTATTGACAGGATTTTAAGCGTTCTTGTGCATGGACATTCTTCGGTCATTCTCAAACTTGTCAGAATATCATGGATTTAAAAAAAACCCCAATGAGAACGTCATTTAACCAAAGGACCCTAGGTGCAAGTGATTAGTATAGGCCTTGGGGCACATAATTCATATCTGCAAAACATTCATCATTGTTTGTGTACGTGTTGTAACACCTCTGACCTGATAACTTCAAACCCAACTTAAAACCATGGTGGAAGTTATTGGCAATCCATTTTAAGGAGCTCAGAAATCCCATTTCTATCCATGTGGGACGAGTTGTAACATGTGTGACAGGTGTTTCATTATCAGTGTCATTCATCTTTATTTATGCAAGCACAACACTTTTTTCTCCAAGTGTTCTATGAAGTAGAATTGACGAATGAGATTCCATTTTTTATTATTTTTCTTATGGTTTCGAAGCTGGGGATTCCGTGTTGATGAGACCTTTGGAGAACGAGAAAAACCCATATGTGGCTCGTGTGGAGAGAGTCGAGTCTGATGTGAAGGGAAACGTGAAGGTTCAAGTTAGATGGTACTATCGTCCAGAGGAAGCAATTGGAGGGCGACAGAAGTTTCATGGATCGAAAGAATTGTTCTTATCAGATCACTATGATACTCAAAGTGCTAATACAATTGAAGGTAAGTGTATTGTTCATACCTTCAAGAATTACACCAAGCTTCGGGATGTTGGAGCCGAGGACTACTTTTGTCGATTTGAGTACAAGGCTGCTAACGGAGGATTCAATCCTGACAGTGTCGCTGTGTAAGTTTCGCACCTTCAACTTTCTTCATTGATTAAATCATTCTTGCAAATACGAGACTTTTAATTACTGTTGTATGATGATAATAATAATAATAATCTTCGTTTAGATCTACATATATTTATTCAAACTTTTGTGGCAAACTTTCTTCATCTCTCACTACAACAAAATTGGTTTTATAGGTCGCCTAAAATGTCTAAGCGTCCTAATAAAATACTTTATAGGACCAATTATAGGACTAAACCAAAAAGCATCCTGTCTAAAAGTGTTACAATAGGTTTATGGTACGTTTTAACAAGTCTTTTGGGACGCTTTTTTAATGGACAATGTCCTATGAGCTATTTTATACGAGACTATTTGAAAAAATGTCCTATAAAAAGATAGGTTTATAGGACATTTCTCAAAAGGGTCCTATAAAAATAGCTAATAGGACACTTTATTTTAAAAGCGTCCTAAAAAGCTTGTTAAAACGCCTAAAAGCATCCTATAAACTTATTGTAATGCTTTTAGATAGGACGCTTTAAAGTTTTGTCCTATAAACTTATGTTCTACAAAGTATCTATTGGGACGCTTAGACATTAATTCTAAGCGTCCTACAAAGCCAATTTTGTTGTAGTTTCCCATACTTTTCACAAGCTGGGTTTTCACTGAAACAACTGCTTTACTCTTTGGGATAGAGAACAAGTCTGCATACATCCCATCCTCAAACCCTGCATCCAGATGGAGTATACCGGCTTCGTTTGGTTTGGTAATTATTGATGGGTGATTATTTTTGAAGGTATTGCAAATGCGAGATGCCATATAATCCTGATAACATGATGGTACAGTGTGACGCTTGCAGAGACTGGTATGACACTATATAAATATGGCATCTTTCTTGACGACCATTACGTTCTACGTGAATTGCTTTATTTACCATTTCTTCCTCTTTTGTGTTATTTGCAGGTATCATCCGGAATGCTTAAACATGACTATTGATCAGGCAAAGGAAATAGGTATCTTTACGTGTTCTGATTGCTCATCTGTAGATAGTAAGAGATCTGACAGTGGAAGTTCTTCATCTGCTCTTGTCAATGACAAGGTGAGACTATACCACCAAACTTTTATGCTTTGTGTATTGTAGTAGTCTCATGGAATCCAATTTTTTTCTTTCTTTTTGCATGTTTTCTGTTTGTTTGGCCACTTGTGATTGTAACTCAAATGATACATCTTACCCTCTTTAGACCCTACTCTGTGTGGGACTCACTTGATTCATTTGGTATGTTATACTCGAATGATATTACATCATCAATCCCATGATAAATGCAGCATTTTAGTTATGGGATGTTCAAATAAGAAGGCTAAATATCGTGAGAAGGTAAGTAGGGAAGATTCATATGTGAATCATTTAAAAATCCATTTGAAGGTGCATTTGTGAACCCATATGGACAATCTGTAACGTCTGTTCAGCATCTTCAATTCAAGTAGATTTTTTTCCCGATCTTTTTAAGGATTCACATATGAATCTTTCCTTAACCTTCACTTCTTATCTTCTTACGATATTTAGTCTTTTTATTTAAACTGGCCTCTAGGGATTGTTACAGAATATTGGTGATGTTGATTTTGGCCCGCAAGAGACCTTATGTATTGTTCTTATTGGTGGGTATGTTAGATATTTGACTAATAGTCAGACATTCTTATAGTGTTGGATACGGAGTCTGATTCATAAATGAAGAACGGTTAGGCAATTAGGATGATGGTCGTCGTTGATTTCTAGCTTTCTTCATGTAAATGGGGTCGGTCTCTTTTTGGTGGATCTATTAGTAAAATACACGAGATACAATAAGAATCATTGCGGAGACCAAATAAAACATGATTTATCTCTCCACATTTTTAGGATATGTAGAACTGCTTTGAATATCTCTCCTAAAGAGCGTAGGTTCCACACACACACACACACACACATATATATATACACGGATTTGATGGTCTATGTAGCCAGCATAGTCAAAGATGTTACACCCAATATAGGGATTCAACACGCTATATCAGATTTTTACGCATATTTTGCTTTGAATATGGTTTCAGTGGGATGTTTTTACCTATTTCTATAAGGATCCGTTTTCATTCATTGTCGGTCTAAAAAGAAATGTATGCCAACGGCCACCAAATAGTCTCCAATCACTTGCTATAACCATCGAGGGTCGTACCTGAGTGTTTTCCAATATGAGATATGAACAAGGGCCCCAAAGTTTATATGCTTTAACCTTAGTCCAATTATAACTTTTTTAGGCATTTACTTTTTGAGCCGATTTGTCAATTCCTGATTCCAGTTTTATGTTAGAAGAATGATTCCATTCAAGTGAATTTCATAGGTTACTTTGTCATTTTAAGACACTTTTGTAGTTTTAATTTGCAAGATTTTTAATATGATATATGGTATGAACTTTTATATATTTGTTATGTTTATTACTTGTGAGTCGATCTATAGTCTTGCTACAAGTGTAAGAGTAAGAGAAGATCCAAAATAACTGAAACGGCCCTATAACCAATGAGTTCCTTTGTTTATAGGATCAAATGATCAACATTTGGGTGGTCTCTATCTTTACAACGACTGCAAATATTTGCTCGTTTTCTTTCATCTGATTCCGGTTGTGTCGTGTTTTCAGGAGGAACACAAGCGCAAAAGGGATGATTTCACTTGAAGTGCCATGTTTTTATGGGTGTTGTGTAGTTCAGAAAATGTTATATGCTCAGTAGTTTTGATAAGAAGTCATAATAAATGAACAAAGTGTTTGTATAATAGGATTGATAGTTTTGTGTGATATAGAATTTAACAAGCAACTCAAGCTTGCGTTCAAGCTTAAATCGATGTCAAATGCATAATAAAACTCACTTAATTTAAGGGGTTCTACTCAACAATCATTCGACAGCTCACTTTAGTGCAAATTGAAATATAATTGTTTGGTAATTATTCAAAATGAAATTAGGATACTGAATGGTTAAGGAAGGCTCAAGATACAAAATCATTCGGTGGATTTTAGAATCATTAAGAGACGAGCTTTTTTTTGCCAAACAAGATTCACCTCTTAGCAATTCAGAGGCTATCTCTTAGTAGAACTATTAAGAGGTAAACAAACAACTCATAATCATAAAACCAACTACTGATTATCGACAAATTATATATGGATTTCTAATGGAATGTTATAACGAATTATCAATATACAAATTCAACTAAAAATTATTCAAAACTTAAGTACCGATAGATATGTACCATCGTTGATCCATCGGTAAGGCGTAACATTTTGGATTATCAATGGCTATCAAAATCAAAAATTGAAATTTAACTTTGTCGGTAATTCGTGGGTATAATTTACAGTTTACCAACGTAATATCGACAAACCTTGTAAAATTAAATAGACGAAATTTTGTCAACAAATTTTAGAATCGTGATTACACTGTCGCTGATCCATATACAATTACTGACAAATTATTGATGGAAAGATGGTTGTCACTAATTACAAATCTTCTCCATGTAAAACCTGCTCTGTTTTATCACTGGTCTTTGGACTACAAATTGGACAAAAGTCCATCGGAAATACCTTGGAAATTAGCGACATGTGCAATCTGTCGCTAAAATCTATTGGTCACACATCTTTTTTAAGTGTCTCAGGCTATGCCCAAACTAATCCGGCAAACTTTGACTGCAAGACATCAGTTTTAATAAACTCAATGACCACAATTGTTTTAGACACCTGGAATTGAACCAGGACAGATGAGATATTCCATCACATCGCTAGACTTCAATCAATATGCCACAACCCTAAGGCAAGCCAATAAATGAGTCAATCAATCTCAAGTTTGACCCAATACACTAGCTAGAGTTTGAAGTTTAGGTCAATACAATGTGCAACTCAAAATTGTGAACACAATTTGAGTTCTGAGTCAAGCTCAAGCATGATGTTATTTTTTTCTTGCTACTCGATTCAACTCGACTCGTTAACACCCTACTTGCACCTATGCATGCAATACTTATACTTCACGGTACAAACAAAACTTCACAACATACAACCACTACATCAGTTAAACACCAATGCAAATCAAATCAAAACTAACTCAACCCAATATATCTCACTTGAAAGTAGGGTTTGGTTTGGAATGTATGCAGATCTGTCATTTGTCCCAGATGATGAAGTAGCCGACTGTTTCCATGAAGACACGACTTGTGCATAAATCAAATCGAAATCACTTTGCATAACAAGCTTTTGTTGTACCATAAATATTTTGAATATACATTTAGAAATCAACTAAAATTGTAACTCACAATTGTTTTCAAACCATATGTAATCTGTATAAATATTTACTTTTACTTCAACTTCAAGAAACCATCTTTTGATGTATTTAAATTATATATACAAATACATACATACATACATACATACATACATACATACATAAATAATACATTTAGGAAAAGGAATTTTCTGCTCTACAATCCGGGTGAGAGTAAACAATTATCGTTAAGTTTAAATTGGTAACTTGATTTTGTATTGGTAGACCACGGATTTTGTAGCCAATTTGAACTTAACGATAATGGCTTAACCTCACGTGGCTTGTATAGCATAAATTTCGTTACTGACTGATATGTATGTATGTATGTATGTATGTATGTATAGTGCGGTTTTGGTAACGCGTATTACCTTTGACTGATCTCTTTGTGAAGGTCTGACTTTGACCTTGCATATACACGGAAAAACTGTGAGGATGCTCGGCTTGATAACTTGGATGATGTTAACATGTCGTCTCATAAGCTTCGTGATCCGGGGTTCTGTATATGAACCCCGAGTCCTCACTGGTTCGTCTATTGGCAATGCTTGCCCTCTGCATTAGACGAACTAGCGCTTGCACAACTTCGGACATGGGAGGCCGGAACTCTGGTTCAGGCTATACACAAAAACAAAAGCTCATGTTTTCCCGTTACATGAGAGTGATCTGGTTTTTTAATCATCATAGTTGATTAATCTGTTTCTACAAGTTAACCATAGTTCTGATACGGTACAAAACCACACTAAATTAACCAAGTATATCCACTTGGAAGAGGGGTATAAGGGTAGGATGTACGAAGAGCTGACCTCTACTCTAAAGAGCAGAGCGACGGTTTTCATGGAGAAAAAGTGTGAATTTTTTTTTGACATGTTATAGATAGGTTGCCAAAGAGTATAAAATAGAATATATATATATATATATATATATATATATATATATATATAATTTATAACAACTGGTTTTAATGAAATTTAAAAAAATATGTAGATACAAAAAGTTGATTTTATGGCATCTTTAAATTACAAAGTGTATTCTTTTTTAATCTTCACAAACATGGCCATGCCGGCCTATCAGAAGGGGCGAGTTTGTCTGATTTACCCCGTATATTAGGTAAATCAGATAAATTTCCCCTTTTGATAAGATTTATAAGTAGACACATAGATATGCAAATATATATTCCCTCCTTCCCAGAATGAATGTAGAGTTTGATTTTGCACCGAGTTTAATGATATTTATTTACGATTATTCAAACATCTTAAATATCTCACAAAATAGAGGAATTCTTGCATCAACATCAATGTTAAAAGCATTTTGAAATAACTAATGATGGGTAATAAGCGTAAATTTAGATTGAAACCTTACTCACAAAGGAAATGTTACATTTATTTGCGAAGAATCCATAAAGAAACTTGTTGCATTTATGTGTAAGCACATAATATGAGTTGAATGATTTCAAGAACTTCACCTGAACACAAAGGGCGATGACGTCAGCAAACCGAGACAAAGACTTGGCAGGATACATGCCATTTAATGCAGGATCAACCATTTTGGCCAATAAATCTATATCATGGAGTTGAGGGATAGCCCATCTCACTAGTGATTGCTCTGATCTCACTCTTGAACTACACAATTAAAAGAAAAGCAAGAGAAGTCAAAATTTGTTACAATTAATCGAAATTTGAACACATCTGCGTACATCCCACCCTGAGACCGAAGAAGCAAAAAAAGCTCCAAGCCGGGCCTAAAAGCCCGCTTGGGCCAACTTCTTTTTCAAAAGTCCATAAAACTCTGGCCTAATAAGCCAATACGGCCTGGCCTGAAAAAGTATGATCGGGTCTATTTTCACACCCGAAGCCAACACTCGTTTTTTGCTTACTGAAAAAAGGCTTGGAAGGACCACGCCCACATCTAGGCCCAAAAAGTCTCAGGTCTTGTGCATCTCTAGCCTGACCCCACCTCGGGTGGATATATTGGGCTCATTTGGTTTACGATCCTAGTTACAACTATACAACATAGTTCTTTGATGATAAATCAACCAGGAAAACTACTTTTTTGTTTTAAATCATCCTTCTTTGGAGGAGGGTTTACCTGTCAAGTGGCTTTCGACCTGTCAAGAGCTCCAACATCACCACTCCGAAGCTATAAACATCACTTTTTACAGTATATACACCGGACAAGGCAAATTCTGGAGCACTATAACCAAATGAACCAACCATCTGTGTTGATACCTGTAGAAAATTGAACATGCAACTTAAGAAACTAATGATGCCACATCGAAGATTAGTTGTAGGTAGCAAATCCACGATATGACCACCAAGAGGGAAGCCATGATTTCTGACCAGGGCGGTCCTCTTAAATACAATTATGTAAATTCAAAAAATAAAAAACAAATATAGAAAGATATTGTATTGTTGAAGTGATCATCCAAAAATAAATATATGTAACTACTCTATAAAATTTAATTTCACACATGGGTGTAGATGAGTTATAAATTTTTACAAGCTACCACAGAAAATTTATATTTACTAATTCTAAAATGAAGGAGAAGATTTCAGATTAAAAAAAGATATTAAGCATATAATTATTTGATGAGGGAGAGAGAGAGGGAATCCATTAAGTCACTTAAATATCAGCCACATGAGATTGCATTGCAGGTCAGATACATAAGTTTTTTTACAAAGCCCAGGGTGTGCATGGGATCACCCTGGCCCAAGGCTGGTTCTGCCAGTGATGATCACCCATCAAAGACAATTTGATTACCAAATGGTCATTGGCTTAGCGGTATATGAGTTACTAGTAGAACTCAACATCCCTGGAGGTAAGGAGTTCAAGCTTCACCAAAGTGTGTAAGTTCTTCCTTATATAAAATATTATATACTTCAAAGAAAAAGACAACTTGGTTGACGCCTCTATAATAGTTTTAGTAATATCTTAAGAAGTGGCCACCCTCTCCCTAAACAATTAGAAATCAATGTAGGATTAAAGTAGTCATTCGAGTAAATGTGACAACTATCAATGTCACCGTCAACCACCATCCTCTTTCTTTTTCTAAGGGACAATGTCATCATGAACAATCGTGCTTGGTGCTTTTGGCCTGAAATCTCTCATTCTTGCAAAATGTAGTTATTTTTGCAGGTTTTTCTAAAGGAAAAACAAGTATGATGGTACAAAAACTCAGTAAGTTAGATCTAAACTAGTTGATGAAGGCTGATCATGATACCCATATGAGAAAAAAAGATTTGAGGGAGAATTATGAATAGAAATAGACATAGAAGTGTCACCACCAAATTTACCTCTCGCTCTGTGTTGGGCGTAAGGGCGGCTAAACCACAGTCTGATAAATGAGGGTTGAGATCTTCATCAAGTAAAATGTTTGCTGACTTGAAGTTTCTATGTACGACAGAAGGTAGGCAAACTTCATGCAAGTACCTGTTAGGCATGGCCACTATTTAAGATGAAGCAGAGAAATAGAAAAAGGAGACAGAGATATCTGAAACTTTTTTTTGTGAGAATATGTGGAATCCATCAGAATACTCTCATTAAGAGCCTGCCCTTGAGGAGACAAGGGGGGTTCCAACAAATATTGAGAAATGGTCCAACTCTAGCCATCGTGGGACTCCAACACGTCCCTCCATCGGAGGCTAGAAAGGGTAGAGTGTCAAGTCCCATAGAGCGGTAGACCTTGCCTCTGATACCATGTGAGAGTATGTGGAACCCATTAGATCATTCTCCAAAAGACCCCTGAAGAGAGATATTGAGGAGAAACGGTCCAAGACTCAAAGTCTAGCTGATGTGGGACTCTTTAACATATTTCAAGACATACTCTAGAGCTCGAGCTGTGCCAAGTGCTACTCTAACACGTGCATTCCATGTCAGGGATTTGCTCCTATCATCGGCTAAGTGCAGCAAATCTTGCAAGCTCCCATTTGCAACGTATTCATAAACCAGAAGGCGTTGCCCATGCTCTGCACAATATCCTGCTAGCAGAACTATGTTTGGGTGTCTCAAACGTGACATATTTGAAACAGCTTCTACAAATTTATCTTGGTCTGGTAGTGACAATGCTGCATTATCTATCTTCTTGATGGCCATCATCTGTGAGACAATAAGATTTTAGGCGTCAAGATCACCAAAAACAACATTTATTCAAATAAAAATAACTTTGGGAGATATCCAGACTGGTTGTGAAGCTTTGGAACCAGAATATGTTAACAGTACATGTACCTTCCCGTTGGGGAACTCTGCTTTATAAACACGACCCAAAGAGCCTTCACCAATTATGTTTTCTTGACTAAAACTGTTTGTTGCTGTTTGTAGAGCTGCAACAGTGTATGAGGTAGCCGTTATAGGAGACCTAACTCTCTTTGTAGACCCATCTTTTTGTAGCTCAAACATCGAGTCTTCAGCTGGTGAGGACCTCAAGTCGAGCATGCTAGCTGTTGGTTTTACCCTCTGCTCTTGAATTTCTGTATTAACTGAAATGAAACAAAGAATGCATTAGTGGATGGTTAGCTCTATTTTTTCTTCTCTGGAGAGAAATAACCTAGTGCGCCCATATGGTATTTGACATGGAGATTGTCATCTGATGATAGAATTCAACAAACAGAAGCAAGAACAGTTATAGGTGATGAAACAAATCGATTTAAACACAAAAGTGCTCGGTGGTGATTTTGTGCATTGAAATAGTGGGTTTTCCAAAGTCAAATGTGGACTCTAATTATGGGATGAAAAGGTTTTGTGGATAATCATTAAAAGAGACCAGTATATCCCACCCGGAGGTGGGATAGGGGGTGAGATGTACACCTGACCTCTCCTCTAAGAATAGCGCTTTTGTTCCCGTGAAGACACCTGGCGGGTGAGAAGTGTGTGACAAAGATAGAAAGTTTCTCCATAGAAAAAAAAGGGATAGCAAAGGTGAGGGCTTGAAGAAGAAACAAACAAGAAAACAGGATAATTTCTCACCACTGATAGGACGACTGCCTATGGAAGTTTTTCGAGCATTTTTCTTCTTTTTTCCTTTCCGAAAGCAGAACACAAGCACAAGAAGCCCAAGAAGGACCAAGAACGCAGAACCTACACTTATGCCTATAATAGCTCCAACGCTCAACTTTTTCCGATTACTTGTATTTGATGACTGCCCATCATAGTCAGTAGGTATACGTGATGGAGGAGAACGGCTTCTATTGTTATTGGATCTAGCCGGAGGAGGTGAAGTGTATGGAGGTGGAGGAGGAGCAGGACCATTCTCAAATGAATTTCCATCGTATCTGTTTCATTTAAGTATTACACTAGATGAAAAGGAAAAGACAAATCTTATAATACATGGCCATACTATTCATATGCAGCATGATAGCTTACATAAAAGTAGGGAGAGAGAGAAGCTCCCTTGGTATCCATCCAGTGAAATTGTTGTTTGCTATATTTCTGTAAGAAAGACAACGTATAAGACAACTGGAACAAATTAAGAACACAAGTCAACCCAACATAAGAGTAACGCCGCAAGCCAGCAGCAGGCTGCCCCAATAATCTCTGAATCAACTTAAAACCATGGTGGAAATTATTGGTAGTCCACAACTTTGAATTTATAAGGAGCTCACAAGAATACTTTACTATCCACCGTCCATGTGGGGTGCATTTGTCACAATAAGAATTTAAAAAACTTACAGATCAGTCAAAGACAAACCAGACAGGGCACTTAAAGAGCCAGTTAATTGATTGTTCTGCACATGACTGACAAAAACAAAAGAATCACAATAATTTCTGAGAAAGTAAACCAACAATTAAGCAATGAGTGGCATTAAGTATAGGCTCACAGTGTAGTAATGTTTGACAATGAACTGATTGAATTCGGAAGATCGCCAGTGAAGTTGTTATGTGAGAGATCCCTGCATCAGCATGTAGGTCAATCAGGTTAGAATAGGGATGAATTTCTGCACTCTGTTTGATTGTTAAGAGTCCCACATAAGCTAGACTTGACCATTTCTTCTGCATATATGTTAGAACCTCACTTCTCTCTTCAAAGGCTCTTTTAGATAGTAATCTAATGGGTTCATATATTCTCACATGGTATCATGCTCAAGGTCTACCATTTTAGGGATTCGACACTTTGGGGCAACTTGTACTCGTCTAGCCCCTCTCGACACTCTAGGGCAGTCTATTGTTAAAGTCATACGTTGGCTAGACTTGGACCATATCTCCTCAATATAAGTTGGAACCTACCTTCTCTCCTGAAGGGAACTTTTGGAGAGTGATAATGATTTGCTTTTTTAGATAATGTAATTGTAGAGACACGCCATTTAGAACCTTGGGAGTGGAGAAATTAAGATGTAATAGTGGATCCCATTTTATTGATACGAGGACAATTGATATGGGGCTCTTAAAATGGAGAATTAAGAATAAAGTAAAGGGTGTAAACAAGTAGACTTAGATATCCCAGTAAGACAGCTTGATAGGATAGTGCACGAGATATAAAAATATTGCTTCACATAGGAAACAAACTACAAATGCATATAGCGAATGTGGCCCATAAGTATTGCAGTTTGAACTTACAAAGTTGCAAGGCTAGTAAGATTAGTAAAAACATCAACAATATTCTGAGCGAGCGCATTGCGGCTAAGATTCCTGAAACAAAGATTTATATGATCAAGCAATCTAGAAAATAACATTAAATATTGGGGGGGGGGTGAATCTGAGGTATGGCTCTCACACATAGTTCAGATTAAACATCATAGCAATGGAATAAGGAAGACCTCCACTTAGATTGTTGTTAGCAAAATTCCTGCATGCAACAGAAATGTCTATTGGCATCAAATGACTTCTAAGATCTTTAACAGAATATGGTAATCAATGAAAATGTAAAGATCGTTACACGCTAGTAAGATTTGGCGGTAACTGGTACGGAATTGTGTCATGAATGTTGTTTCCACTAAAATCCCTAGAACAAAGTACCCAAAATAAACTTGAATCAGGAACATATAAGATACCTCAACTTGCCAAATATGAAAACAAAAAGACAATACTCATCAATCATTATGTTGAACATAAAGATGATATTCTCACAATGTTTTTAGTGAGACAAAGCCTGCTAACAAGTATCCCAATGTGCCATCAAGTCCTAGCCCAGGAAGTTGACTGTCAAAGCAACAATGATGAATCTTATCAGTTGAATGATGATTAAAACAAAAAACAATAGCAAGGTTCTTCTCTGTGAAGATGATTGAAAGGGAGACATGAGTTCACAAAGCCTCCTAGCCTTCACAAGGATTTGGGAGGGAAGTCCATATACACCTTTTTCAACTTGCATATTTTCAAATTGACTTCCGTGATTGAAACTCATGGCCTGCCAGCACATAGGAGTAACCTTTTTTACAATGGTGAGTGTTTGGGCCAGCTTGCAGAAACCTCAACTAATCCCATGGGAAAGCGACTTGAACGGGTGACCTCTTGGGTAACAAAACTAAGGGCTTACCAGTTGAGCTACCCCAAAGGGTTCATAGGAGTAACCTTATCATTCAGCGGGTTCATTAATTCGATCCACCGGGTGGGCCTAGAAGCAATGGAATCTCACCTGCCTCTCGGTTGCTCCAAGGCTCGCCCCTTGTGTGGAAGATGATCATGACAGTTGCATACAGAATTTCCATAAAGAAGGGCACTACAAGCATAAAGGGATTGGATGCATCCTAATTCCTAAACCTTTTTCTATTTACCAATATGCATGGGTTATGTCGTTAAATGAAATTTAACTTAACTTACATGGAAACAACAGCAGTACCCTGGCAGGTAATCCCTCTCCATGACTCTCCACAGGGGTCACCAACATTATTTTTCCAGTTAGTTAACTGGGCAGCATTGTTCAAAGATGTGTACAAAACCTGAAGTGCTTGAACTGCAACCAGACAACTTCTTTAGCCCCAATAAACCAGCATGCACTATTTATACTCATTTTCTACCTAATGACAAACGAAATGTTTGTGGAACACACATTGTGAGAATATGTGAATCCCATCCTATTACACTCCAAAAGATCCCTTAAAAGAGAGAGATGGGAAGTTCCAACATATATGGAGGAGAAATAGTGTAAGTGTAGCCGATTTAGGACTCTAACAAATGTCACAACAATATGTTTTCTCAATTGCAGGCCGAAAAAGCAAAAGTTGCATTGCTGACCAGAATTGACTACCAACTGCAACATAAATAACTAATCTAACCCTAGTTTACAAAATCTATCACGGAAAAACATTTTGATTGCCCACTAACTACGCCTTGATTTCAGGAAGAGATCCACTTTGTCTTTTAGGTCAAAAGAATTAGTCATCAACATCATAATTGATTTGAAAATGGTCACATCACACTTTGTATACTTTCTGTATACGTTTAGTGTTCCAAGAAAAACAGTAACACTTTTGGATGCCAAACGGGTTGCTTTCCAACTTCAAGGTTCACATGCATTTAGCGCTAATAGACATAAAGAAAGAAAATTGATTATACTAGACTTTTGGGAAAGTGGTACAGACAGAAAAATATTGTGGTCACACTGTCAACAAAATCCATGCTAAGTGCGGTTTTGAATAGTACAGGATCGGAAATCAAAAATTATGAGTGTATGTTTATTTCAGAACGGATTGAATAACAAATACACCATCAGTTTCTCTGTACCCATAACCAGCAAAAACGTAAATTAATATGAACAACTTTTGAAAAAATGCAATGTCTATAAGTTTCATATGAAGCAGCAGAAATAGAAAGATTTGGTGTTAATTTGAACTAGGATATAAGGTTTGATGAAACAGAGAAATTATACAAATACTAACCCCACAATAAACCATTATCTTCATCAAAACCATTGAATCAATCATCAATACCTATACATTCACACATGTCATGCTCCCATATGAATCACAAAACTCTTTAAAACATATATTTGAAAGAAAAAAAATCCTCAAGTTCGAATTTCCACCAATCACAACGCAGTAAAAGCTTCAAAGCTCCTCCTAAACAACAAACTGTCAATCTAACATAACTGAATTTCCAATAAAAACACCTCAAAAGTACCAAATTGATGAAGATCAAAACCAAAAAAAACATCCACAAAATGTTAACCAAAGAAAAACAAGCGGTAATTGTTACATACCATCAGTTGGATCAGTGATGGCTTGAACACAAGTGGAAAAAAGGAAGATCGCCAAAAGCAGTTCCAATAGCAGAAAGTGATGGAAGGTGATTTTGGCCATTGTTGGAATTGTTTTGCAGGCAGTGATCAAGCCATGCAATACGAGAGGCGTTTGAAACGTAGAGACAGAAGCAGGTTTCAACGTCGTTTATGGCCATTGGCGTCTGAATGACATTTCTGGAGAGAGAAAGAGAGTGATTCGAAACTTCGTTAGCAGAGCAATGAAGAGAGAGAGAGTTTGCAGGCAGTTGAATACGAAGGACTACACACGGAAAAGTGTCGGCGAACAAAAATCAAAACCAATTAATATCCATTAAATTATTTATTACATATTATTTTCTCAAAGAAAAATTACACCAAAATGGAATCAAGTTTTACCTGATTCCTATTTTAGGGACTCAATTTTTAAAATCATCATTTTGAGTAATTAATTTGTACTTGATTCCTACTTTGAGAACCAACTTACAAAATAATTATAGAAAGTTAACTAAAATTTGATTTTTTTCAAAAATTAATGCAATAAAATCTATTTTTCATTTTAAATCTCGTTTTTTTAATTCAAATATCAAATTGAACATTTTTAAAAAAAATCCAAATTATCACAATAAAAATTATTTTTACTAATGCAAAAAAAATCAATTTAAGAGAAAAAAATTAATTGATGCAATAAAAAATAAATATTAAATATCACATTCAAGATTTTTATATCTAACCAATTGCATCAATTAATTTTTTTCTATTAAATTGATTTTTTTTGCATTAGTAAAAAAACAATTTTTATTGTGGTTTTTTGTATTTTTTTAAAAAATGTTCAATTTGATATTTGAATTAAAAAAAAGATTTGAAATGAAAAATAGATGTTATTGCATTAATTTTTGGAAAAAAAACGAATTTTAGTTATTTTTCTATAATTATTTTGCAAATTGGTTCCCCAAAATAGGAATCATGTGCAAGTTGGTTCCCCAAAATGACGATTTTGAAATTGGTTCCCCAAAATAGGAATTAGGTGAAAATTGGTTCCATTTTGATGCAATTTTCTCTTTTCTTAATTAGTTAATATTGTCTTTATAATAAATTATATTATTAAATTTAAATAAATTACTTTTTATTAAATATAAATTAAATTATAATAAAAAATTAAACTAAACAAGTTATAAAATAACGAAAACTTTTAAAAAGTTAAATTAATATTAATATCGATATATTTTTCTCAAATTTAATGAGATCTTCAAATTTATATTTTATCGAAAAATAAAAACATTATGCATAACATCAATTTTGACAGAGAATAAAACAAAAGAAAATCAAGATGCATCATGTTGCATTACACGAGTACCCTTCTAGTTTTTACTTTTTACTAATAAAAGAAGTAATGAATTTTCCATGATTAAGGGTAGAATGGATATTATTTTCTCTCTTATCCACCTACACAAATCTAAATTATAATTTTATAAAAATTATATGTTTTATTTTTTATCATATATAATTATTATTATTTTAGTTTTAAATATATAAAATAATTTAGATGGATTATTGCATATTTTAAAACGTAATTATAACTATAAAAAACTTATCATATAATTAAAATTAAATAAGACAAGTCACAAAAATAAGTACAAAAATATGTCAATAGCGTGCTATATCAATTGAGAATTAAAAACCATGAATTTTGTTGTATTTTTTAATTTTTAATTTTTTTTGTTAAAGTCACTTTTTAATTATTTAAAAATTAAAATAACTAATAAACAAATGCCACATGTCAATTTTATTTAGTAAAAACTGCTTCAATCATGTATTGTTGAATGAGAATGATTGGTAGAGATTGGTTCTCTATTTTTTTCTTTCTAAAACTCTTTTTGTCTTATTCACAATCTGATTGCTAGGTCCCTAAGCAATCACTTAGCAAGGTCTCGATTATTTACATGGACCCACTTCTCATTCAATTTGTGGACACTTTTTGATACTAATAAATGCAACTTTAACCAAGTAAATTGGTTGTATAAAATATGTCTCACTATAAGCTTGAATATTGGTCAGAACTTTCAATTGGACACCACAGTAGTATCTGTGTTATGGTGTAGACTGACGGTGTCATCGACCAGCATTTTTCTAATACAGTACGCTGTTCAAATGATCATCTTTAACCACCATTAAATTCATGTCAATAGCGATGTATCTTTGCAATATTATTAATTTTAATATGAAAGATAGTATGTTTTTATTAACCAGAAGGATACTCGAGTAATGCAGCAAAATCCATATCGATTTTAATATTTAGTTTTATTTTATCTCCGTCGATGTTATAATATGATTTTATGCGGTACTGAAAAACGATAATGTTTTTATTTTTTGAATAAAATATGAAGTTGAAGGTATCATAAAATTTTGAAAAAATATGTATCGATTTTAGTATCAAATTAAATATTTAAAAGTTTTTTTTTAATTTATTTAATTTAATTTTTTATTAATAATTTAATTTAGATTTAATAATGAAGTCACTGGTTTAGTAATATAATTTTTTATAAAGATCATAATTAGTGTTTTGTTAAAATTCAATGATTATTCTAAATATATTTTATATTTTTTATATTTAAAATGAGATACCTATCAAGTATTTGATCGTATTTATCTGCAGTTAGTTACACAAATTCAAACATGAATATTTAATAGGTTGAACATACGCACAATTTACTTGTAATTTTGAACTATAAGTAATATGTATCAATAAACAGTACTTAATGCATAAAAAATAGTTTTTTAGAGTTTTTATCAAATGTTTTATAATATAACTAGAAGGGTACTCGCACAATGCAGCAAGATACATCTAGATTTCAATGTTTCATTTTTCTGTCTCAGTCGATGTTATAATACAGTTTTATATGGTTCTGAAAAAATAATAATATTTTTATTTTTGAATAAAATATAAATATGAAGATATATTATAAAAAATTTAAAAAAATATTTATATTAGTATCAAACTAACTATTTAAAATTTCTTCTTTTTTTGTGTATTTCTATAATTCATTTTTTTATTTCTGCTTTAATAATATAATTTTTTATAAAGATAATAATTAAGTATTTTGTTAGAACTCAATGATTATCCTAATTATATTTTAGATTTTATATATTTAAAATGAGATGTTTATTCTCTATTTGATTATGTTTATCTACAGTTAGTTACACAAATTCAAACATGAAGCTTTAATAAGTTGAACATACGCACAACTTACTTGTAATTTTGAATTTTAAGTAATATGCATCAATAAACAGTACATACTGCATAAAAAAAAGTTTTAAGAGTTTTTATCAAATGCTTTATAATATAACTAGAAGAGTACTCGCGTAATGCAGCAAGACACATCTCGATTTTAATGTTCTATTTTATTATTTGTCTCTGTCGATGTTATAATACGATTTTATGTGTTTTTAAGAAAACAATAATGATTTTAATTTTGAATAAAATATAAATTTGAAGATATCATAAAAATTTGAAAAAAAAATACCAATGTCAATATTAAATCAACTATTTAAAAGTTTTCATTTTTTATGTAACTTCTTTAATTTATTTATTTTATTATAATTTAATTTAAGTTTA